CCCATCCCTTCCTGCTATTCTGCTACTCTCATTTACTTCTTTTTTTTTGTTTTATTTTGTTTGCAAAGCTGCCGGAAACGCAGTGCAAGAATGGGGGGCTCACGAGCCATCGCAAAAGCTGCCCCGACGCAGCTCCTGTCCGCTCAGGAGCCTTCCCATCTCCGCCTCCTGTTACCCTGACAAACCATCTCAGCTGCTGCGAGCAGGCCTGCCTGGGGCTCCGCTCGCTGCCCCCTGGTTTTCCTCCTGCTCTTTGAACTGGGGTGCAAGCACCGTTGAGACATACTGAAATTATGGTGGTTAACCAGGGCTTTGGCTGTAAAATATTTGGCGGGAGCAAGAATTCCTTGTGTGGAGATGTCAACGGTTCAGGCCGTGGGAGAGTTGGAAGCGGAGCTCTAGGCCTGCAAAACACATGCTGAGAATGACACCTTTCCTGCCTTGCATTCCCTCTTCTGCACTTGCCTTTCAGAACAGATATTTCCCACTGGCTAGTCAAAATAGTCTTTCTGAGGTCCTTTGCATCTAAACCTTGTTGCCTGAGCCTCCCAGTTTTTGTTTGTCTTCACTGTTGTCTGCCTTTCGATGCGAACCTTCTAACCTGGTTTCTCTGGAAGGTTTCTGAGGTGGTTTTCTGAGGAGGTCTCTCTGGAGCCAAAGGCAGGATGCTGAGCCAGCCTGTGACCTGCTGTCCTTTGCTGTCTTTACAGACCTCAAGGATTTCAAGTTTGATGGCCAGCACGTGATCGAAGTGGATGAGGGGAACACGGCCGTGATCGCCTGCGATCTGCCTGAAAGTCACCCCAAGGCCCAGGTCCGCTACAGTGTGAAGCATGAATGGCTGGAGGCATCCCGAGGTGAGTGCCAGGCAGGGATGAGCAGCTGGAGGGGTCTCACACAGCCTTCAGTTTTACCTTTCCCTAGCAGTAGTAACTTTATCTGCTGCCTCCTTTCTTTTCTGTTCCTTCTGTGCTGGCTTGAGCATGGGTTATTTTAGAGCCTCTGCCAGGTCTCTTGGATTTTCCCCACTAGCTATGGCTGGGGAGACATGTTTGACACCAACTCGTGAAAGGAGAGAGGAGTCACAATTAGCTAATATACCACGTTGCTTTTCATTGGGCTTCTTTGTTTGTTCATGAAGCATTCCTCTAGTCCAGTCCCTCAATAAGGATGACTCTGAATCTGAATTTGGGGGAGACTTTAAAATTTGGATCTGAATTTTGCAACATCTCTCCACTTGTTGCACATACCTGTCAAGTTTGCTTCACGCGACGCCCTTCCCCTCTTGCTTCATTGCCACCAGCACCCTGAGCAGTGCTGGAGCCAGATGGGGTCATTTCGCTGCTTCATTGTTTCTGGAGGGGTACTCCTTGTGACCAGGCACCATCTCCCCTCTCTCCTTGTAGACAACTACCTTATCATGCCGTCTGGGAACCTTCAGATCGTCAATGCCAGCCAAGAGGATGAGGGAACTTACAAATGTGCTGCCTACAACCCCGTGACTCAGGAGGTGAAAACCTCGGTCTCCAGCGAGAGGCTCCGTGTGAGACGTAAGCCATTCCCTCTCGCTGCGCGTCCTCCTGAGCTCTCCGAGCCCTGGGAACACATACCAGTGCTGTTCCAGCTGGTTTTCTCTGTGAACTGACAGTAGCAGCTGCTGGGAAAACTCCATCCCAGCATCAGAAGGCTCTGATCCCCAGGGTATGTGTGTGCAACGCCTGGGGTTATGGGTACCTCCTCTGGGGTTGCACACACGTACCAGTGCAGGGGAACAGCACTAACCCTACCATTTCCACTACCTGTGCTCTGCACAGGACACTTCCCCACCGGCCACCTTCCTTCCCACCCACCTCCTTTCCTTCTCTCCTTGGCAGGCTCCACAGCGGAGGCAGCTCGGATCATCTACCCGCCCGAAGCTCAGACCATCATCGTCACCAAGGGCCAAAGCCTCATCCTGGAGTGTGTGGCCAGCGGGATCCCACCGCCGCGCGTCACCTGGGCCAAAGACGGCTCCAGCGTCTCTGCGTACAATAAGACACGGTTCCTGCTCAGCAACCTCCTGATTGACCCCACGAGCGAGGAGGACTCTGGCACCTACAGCTGCATGGCTGACAACGGAGTTGGCGAGGCTGGAGCCGCATTCATCTTCTACAACGTGCAGGTGTTTGGTGAGTGCTGCAGTAGCCCTTGCTCATAAACGGTGTACCTTAGGTGTTTCCACTGTGCGTTTGTCCTCTTCTGACAAGCCTGTGTGTACATAATACATGCCAATATTTTGCTGGAGTGCCTTTTGTCCAGGTGCTGGCCTGTTGTTGGCACCAGTACAACTTTCAGAGCATGGTGTTTCAGCTAAGAAAAATGGGATTATTATGTGCCTGCTGTCATGGACTGATAGGAGCAGCTGCCCTTGGACCTGCTCTCCTTGTGGCTCACATAGGTGCTGAAGGGGAGGAGTAACAAAGCAGACCCCTGTGTGCCCCTGGAACGGAAGCAGGACTAGAAGGGCTGAAGATCTGTGCCTTTAACCTCATCCCTGCCAGGGAGGACAGTCCAAAGCCAAAGTCCAAAGCTGTGCTGCTCGCCGGGTGATGCTCAGCTGCTGTCTTTTTCCCCACACAGAGCCCCCGGAGGTCGCAATGGAGCTGTCCCAGGAAATCATTCCGTGGGGCCAGAGTGCCAAGTTCACGTGCGAGGTGCGCGGGAACCCGCAGCCCTCGGTGGTGTGGCTGCGCAACGCCGTGCCCCTCACCTCGAGCCACCGGCTGCGGCTGTCGCGCCGGGCACTGCGCCTGCTCAGCGTGGGGCCCGAGGACGACGGCATCTACCAGTGCATGGCAGAGAACGAGGTGGGCAGCGCACAAGCCATGGTGCAGCTGAGGACAGCCCGGTCAGGTAAGGCTGTGCCCAGTCTCTTCTCAGAGCTTGTGACTAGCCAGGCACAGAGTTTAATGCACAGGGAAGGGTCAGAGAGGAGGAGAAGGAAGTCTGTGTGAAACCCTCGTGCCTGTGCAGGAGCTGTCATGTTCTTCCCTCCCTTTCGCTGTGCCTAAACCTTCCCTAGGGTTTCTCTGACTGGGATCTCTGAATTTCCATGTAGGAATGAATGATACCAATGCCACATGAGCCTACCCAAGCTAGCTGTACATGAGATACATAAGACAAGCGGGTGTAGTGCCTTACCTCTTGGCCTATTGAGCTCTCTATATCTGAGTTTGCAGTAAGCAAGAGCCTAAATACTGATGTGGGTGGACATGCCTGGGGTAAAAGAGATGCCACCTGTTTATTTGGTCCGTGCTGAGCTTTTCCAGGCTAGGAGAACTTCAAAGGGGTAGGAAACACCACATAGCCATGATCTATTCTGGAAGATGCCTCAGAGAGACAAGTTACGTTTGTACTGGGAGAAGGAGAGTCTGTTTCTTACATAGCTTAAGTGGTCCAGCAGCCAGCACAGCCTGGGGCCTGACACCTTAAAGAAGCCTGTGCTGCAACAGGAGGGCACCTTCAGGCTACTGAGAGGATTAATTTAAGGGGCTCCTCATTGCCCTGCCTTCACAGCAGACTGGACCTGGCATTTGCCCTGCCTATCTCACTCGTTCACTTACTCTGGGTATCTGTTTCAGGCACTACCCTGAAGCCTGGGCGAGATGCCTGGCCAGGCTCAGCACAGCCTCCGACACCACCTTCCAGGAACAGTGCTCCAAAGCTGCCCCTGGATAAAGCTGGATTCCAAAAGCCTGGGACAACCCCTCTGGCAATGTCTCCAGAGTGTGCAGCCAACAGAGAGCCCGTGTTCCCAGCGGAGGCCCCCATCATCCTCAGCTCTCCCCGCACATCCAAGACGGATAGTTACGATCTGGTGTGGAGACCTCGTCCTGACAGCAGAGCCCCCATCCTGTATTATGTGGTGAAGCATCGCAAGGTATCCCTGTCTTGCCCTGTTCCTGTCTTTCCTCTGCACCCGTTTCATAGGTGGCCTGATGGCCCTATTGCACCTTCATACTGCACATTTGCACACCCCATGGGGCACAGGCACCCGATGCTCACTGGCGGTGCTGCTTGGTGTGACCTCTGCCGCTGCAGCCTCTGCCCACAGAGGTGTGTGTGAGGAGGGCAGGCTGCGAGGGGGTTGCTGGGCTTTCCAGGAGCAGTGGCCAGAGTGGAGCACCTGGCCCAGCCCCTGGGCACCCGCGCTCAGCGACGACGACGAGTGAGCACAGGGCTGTCATAGCAATGCTGCATCTTTGGGGGGCCTGAAACCACCTGTACCTCAGGGTTCTCTTCTGGAAGATGAAAGGCTCCATGCAGTCAAGCATGGCCCTCGGGTGATGGCACAGAGCAAGGCCCAGGGGTGCCCATGAGCAGGGCCCTGGGGGCTCCTGCCCTTCCTGGCACTTCTCAGCACAGCGGGCAGGCTCCATGCAGGGCCACAGCCCAGCTGCTGCTCTACAATATCCAAGCACCAATGAAACAAAAATTTGAAACAAAAATTCAGCTTTCGAGGTGATGCCAGGCATCTCTTCTCAATTTACTGGAGGGAAAAAAAAAAAAAACTCGGATTTAGCTGTGTGCTTCTTGGATTTCTTTTGAGTATGCAGGGAGTTTGCAGCTGAGTGGTAAGTTTTGTCCTGGGGTTCAAGTACATTCCAAATCTGGTATGTTTTAGATTCCCAGGCACTGCAAGGCACCATTTTCAATTATATATGTATCTGTTTTCCTGGAATCTTTTGACTTCATGAAAATATTTGTAATAATAGGAGGCTTTTATAACCCCTGCACACATCCTTGATTTCATTCTAAACAAAGCTTAAACTGAGGGTTTCAGCTAACCAGCACTTTAAAGAGCCCTTTGAAACAAAGACATGAGATGCCAACACAAGAACACAACAGGCAACTTTAAATAAAAAAGCAAAAAAAATGCCAAAAGCCACACCAGACTATTGGGTCTCTTTGTCTGCCAGGAAGTGATGTGTCCCCCGATGGCATATCATGTAACAACTAATTCTGCATGTGATCTTAACTTGCAGACTGGAGTTTGACCATATTTTATTTGTTTTTTCAGCGCTTCACCTGGAAGGGTCTGTAGGGCAGTGGAGGTCACCGTGGGTCACTGCAGTTTGCAGTAATATGTTTTCAGTGTAGTCCAAATTCTCAGCTGGAGACTCTTTCTTGGGAGGCTTAAGGCTTGTATGGGAAGGGCTTAGTCCCAATAACCCTTAAACTTGTTTAGAAAGAGTATCTTTCCATCAGAGATACTTAGAATCAAGTTATATAATGATCTGGGTTTAAGATCTCTGCCTGGAACTGCGTGTGTGTGGAGAGGGAAGGAATCAATTCAGCCTCGAAAGAAAAGGCTCTTTGTGTGCAAGATGGCTAAGGAAGGCAGAACCTACTGACGGGAGACTTAAATTTGTACTGTGCATGGATCTGTCTCTCCTCTGGAAAATAACTCAGGATGGTTCTTTTCCCTACTCCTACACTGCCCCTAAAATCTCAATAGCCTGCAGGCACTCAGATGCTACACAGCCCTTATCTTTGTTTCTTAAGAATTTTTCTTTTTCCTGGATATTAGCAGTCTTTAGAGCTCCCCTCTTTGGCCTCACAACTCTACAGCCTCAGGAATAAAAATAAAATGGGGCAGGCATTAATCAGTCAGTGTCAAATGCCTGGAGAAGATAAATGATAGAGCAGAGTCTTGGCATTTCCGTTTTGTTGCGTTGTCTGCATTGCTAATGCTCCTTTCGGCACTGGGTCACCTCCATGTCCTGTGCATTTGCCTGCAAAAATATTATCCTTGCAGCTGGGGAGAAAGAGGAAGGTCCCACCTTCCCTCCCCCTCTCTCTGGGGCATCAGGACACGGCTGAAAAATGAACCGTTTTCAAGCACAGACATACGTGCTCTATTCCTCGCTAGACTTTAGGGTTCCTCCGTTGAGCCAGGAAATGCCGAAGCTCCGTAGACTTAACTCCACTTGGCTCTAAGTGTCCTTGGGCAGGCGCAGCTTCCCAAAATGCCATGGTATAATGTGCAGTGGCGCAGCCTGAGAGGGGCCTGGACATCCCTCTGTAGCAGGCAAGGACCTGGCAGCCCCGAGGTGATGGTCGGCCTCCCCCTCCAGCAGAGCTAGCCAGTTAGCAGGGCAGGCCCTGCGCAACTGGAGAAAAAGCCAGGCTTTAAGTGATTTGGGTCCGTATCTCCTAAATGGCTCCCAGGCACCTCATTCCATGGAGATGGTCATATCAGAGTTTGGGCGGTAGGAGAGATTTGGCTCCTAAATCCACTAGACACTTTGGCTAACTCTACCTTTGGTGAGCATGAGTGCTGCTCTGTGAAAGCAGAGAGGAGCCGCAGATAGAGCAGAGGTGAGCGAACCTCTGAAGAAAATACCCCATGCCTGGTGGCTTGTTCTCTTTATACCCAAATCTCCCTTCCTCTGCAGAAGAGCAGCAGGGCACTGAGGCAGGGACGTTAGCCTGGGTGCTACCACGGGTACTGTGCGCCTCGGAGCTGGGGCAGGCGGGAAGCCGGGCTCACCCGCAGGCCTGCAGCGCATGCCTCGCTCCCTCAGCAGGTCACCAACGCCTCGGAGAGCTGGGCCGTGAGGGACATCCCCGCATCGCAACACCGCCTGACCCTCACGAGGCTGGACCCTGGGAGCCTCTACGAGGTGGAGATGGCCGCACACAACTGCGCTGGCGAAGGACAGACGGCCATGGTGACCTTCAGGACTGGTAAAGGTCAAACCTCTCCCTGGGTGTTTTGCTTTGAAGGGCTCTTGGAGGCACTGGCCTCTGGCCTCAATGGTGCTGGCCCTGCCCTGACAGCCTCTCCCAACCTTCGGGAGCAAGGGGTTGTTTCCGCTCTGGAAACATGTCCGCCCCTGAGCTTAGAGCGACTCTGTCCAAAGGGAGGGACAGAGGAGAGGGAAAGTGGCATGACTGAAATGGGGGCAGGGAAAATAAAGTCTTCCCTTTTCCTTGGGATGGAGTAAATGGCTTCCTGTCTGGGGCTCAGCCGGACACCTGCGGACCCGTAGGAAGTAGGTCTGCATAGGGCATGTCAAAAGGTCATTTAATCTCTCCTCTGCCTACAGGCAGGATCAGCTGCACAGGGGTGGTTCCTGGCAGGTGTTTATCTAATCTGTTCTTAAGTGTCTTTCCTCCACTAATGGAAACTCCAGGCTCTCCTGCAGTCTCTTCAGTATCTCCTCAGTATTGCTACCATTAAAAAGATGTTCCAGAAGTCTAAGCTGAGACCCCTTGCTGCTCTGCCTGTGCCCAGCAAGCATGAGAAATGACATTCGTTTGTGGCAACTGTCCCCATAGGGGTAGAGTTGCCCCTTCTCCCCTCAGGCCTCTCTCTTGTGCTTGTTATCAGCTTCTCAGGCAGAAATCTAATGATAGCTTTTTAAGAAAACCCAGCAAACTTTAGAAAATAAAATGTTGGGGATGGGAGTAAAGCTATTTGTAATTTATCAACCCTGCGTTTTAGTGTAGCTTCTAATGCCTGTCTGCAAGTAGAGTGCTTCGAACTTCTGGACTGTTCTAGCCCACAGAGGCCTTATCACAGCAACCTTGCATGGGAGTATTTTGTTTGCCCATCAGAACAAAGATCAGCTTTCTACTGTGTCTCCTCCTCCCTGATGCCACCTCTCCCTTTTGAACAGGCCGGCGCCCGAAGCCAGAGATTGTCGCCAGCAAAGAGCAGCAAATCCAGAAGGATGACCCAGGCACAAGCACTCAGAGCAGCAACCAGTCTGACAACAGCCGCCTGTCCCGTAAGACCCTGCCTGAACTGGGCAAGGAGGGAGGGTGAGGAGTACTGGGCTTGGTCTGGGTAATAGAGCCCAGGCTGTGCTGGAGTTGAAGTCTCCACCGAGTAGAGTGAGACCTTGCAAAGCTGAATAGTTCATCGGTACCTCCTGACACAGTCCAGTGCTTCTTGGACACCTCTGCTATTGCTCTGGCGGGCAGACTCAGGAGAGCAGGTTGATCCCCATGGCCTGTCCCATGGTTAACACAAGGAACCCCTTAAGAAGCCCTGTCTCTTGCTGAGAACCACCTGAAGGGTTCAGGAAGCCCCACTAGAGAGTCTGCAAATGCCCAGCACCTGGGAGAAACAAGCTCCCATGCACCGTCACGTGCTGAAGGACAGAAGAGAATCCAGTCCCCACAGGTTCTGGAGTCCTTATTTCTTAGCTGAGCCCTACAAAGGGCCCTCTCTAGGGCTGGAGATTACTTCACTCAGCCATTTTATTTCACTGGGGAGACATTAGTTGCTTGGTTAACCCAATTCATTGTATTGTGAATTTCACTCAGCCATTTTATTGCACTGGGGAGACATTAGTTCCTGCCTGGTTAACCCAATTCATTGTATTGTGAACTGTGTCTGCCATTACTGTTATTCACTGCTACCATGACGCTTTATGTGAATTTCCTTGTAGTCCTCCTTCCATCTCCTGTTCATTCCTGTGTACCCTTTTTTCATCTCCTCTACAACTCG